TGTAATGACATGATCACAGCTTACTGTGGCCTTGACCTCCCGAGCTCAAGTGATCTTCCCACATCAGCCTTCCAAGTAGTTGGGACCACAGGCACGAATCATCGCACCTGGCTATTATAAAAGTTTTAACACAAATAAGTAAGCCACTGAACTGTTCAATACAGTAACCACTAACTACATGTGGCTATTTAAATTTAAATTAACTAAAATTAAATTGAAAATCTAATTCCTTGGTCTCACTAGCTGCATTTCAATAGTTACTTGTGGTGAGTGGCTACCATACTGGACAACACATTTCCATTACTAAAGAATGTTCCATTGAACAATGCTGAACTAAGGATTCCACATAAAACGTAAATACCAGCAAAAAGAGAAATATAAAATACATAGTTCAATCATACTGTATCTTAAAATTGCCTAAAATTCCATACCTCATGAAATTGCTATCACGTTTACAGAACAGCTGGAAAGCCACACCAATTGAAGCAGACGTCTTCCAGTCTCCAAGTTTATATGCCAACCACACAGCCTCTGGAACCAGGCCACCAATAAATAGCAATTCAAGTGCATATTCAACTGTCCACACATTAGAGAGATTTTGATCTCTAACGACGCTGGCCACCTTAGAGTGTTGCAGAGGAATAAGTCGAAAGGACTGCTCTGTGAGTAAATTTTTAAAAATGGATTATTACAATTACATCCGAACTCATGATTCCTTACATAGGTATATTTATCTCTTCAATCAGTATTTTCTACAAAAAACCACCAGGAAGATACATACAAAATGGGCTAAAGTAATACTCAACATGCCCTAGAACACTTTTAACACTGACAAATGTGCCTCATTCGTGGGTCATGAAACAAATGCCAGCATTATTTTTAAAATGAAACAAAAGAGAGAAAAAAACAGAATAGAAAGTATAGACAATAAAGGTAAATACTGTTTAATGAAACTTTTGTGTCAGGTAATACGCAAATACATACAAAAAACATTTATATCTACTATACTATTGGTACATAATGTACAATTTATTACCGTGACATGGGTCACAATGTGTAGTTTATTACTGTGGGATACTAAGAAATACATGCTTATTTCTCATACTAGATTATGAAATGCAGAAGGCAGAGACTACATTTTATCCGATTTTGTGTTACCCACAGTGTTATGCAATAAAAAACTAAGTTGAGGTAACAATGAAGGATATTAAGTGTCAATATTAGTGTTGATTACGAAGTAGAAAAGTGTGATTTTCAGTAATTCTGACTAAATAATAAGATTGCTATCCGGCCTGTGATTTAATACAAAAGGATAATATTCCCCCTGGCCTTCTGTCCCTTTCCCTAATTGAAGTAACTTGATAAAGCAACTTAAAAATACGATAAAAGAAATGTTATTTAAAAATATATGTTGATGGGATTTTTACTCATTCTCTCAAAACAAAAGTCATAAATAGTATTCATGAGCTTCTCTGTTCCTTGAAATGGTTAGTTTCTCACATGACCTACACAGGCTATGTCTACAGCAAGAACTAACATTTTAGCTCTCTGACAAACACACCTGGAAAACCAAAAAAGTTTTCAACCACTTGGATGTCTGATTTTGCATAAGCAAAGGAGCCAGGATACTGGCTAAATTTTTCCTATTTTTATTCACTACTAGCAAGGTAATATACTATTAAAATAACTTGAATAATTTAATTTTCTGAAAATTTTACTACTTTCACACAGTAAAAAGTTTCGCTACTTTTTAAAATATCACACCAAATAAGCAACTCAAATCCCTAGAAAAATTCTGATTAGAAAAATGAACATGAAATGTATATGCATCCTGAAACACTGACAGAACATAGGAGTTTGAACACATAGTTCAAAATTCATGGTTCTATGACTGATTATATTTGCTGACCACTTGTTGCCGTCCTTATTAAACTTCTAATTATATTTTAACTAGTATTACTCTAACCTAGGTGTGCCTTGTACATACATGTGTATCTGTTCATGTCTACTCTTGCTTAAAGCCCTCCAACAGATTCCCATGATACTTAAAATAAAATTAAGATTTCTTAACATGGCTTACACCATCTGGCCCTTTTACTGAATGCAACTCATATCACTCTCCACTTCCTCCTCTAGTTTTTTTTGTTTGCTTTGGGGGTTTTTTTGTTGTTGTTTTGGTTTTGTTTTGTTCTGTTTTGTTTGAGACAGTCTTGATCTGTCACCCAAGCTGTAGTGTAATTGCGTGATCTCACTGCAACCTCTGCCATCCCGGCTCAAGCAATCCTCCTGCCTCAGCCTCCCAAGTGACTGGGAATCTCAAGTACATGTCACCATGCCAGGCTAATTTTTGTATGTCTGGTAGAGGCAGGGTTTCACAATGTTGCCCAGGCTGATCTCAAACTCCTGGACTCAAGCAATAGGCCTGGCTTCCCAAAGTGCTGGGATTACAGGCATGAGCCAACATGCCCAGCCCTCCTCCTCCAGTTTACAGCCACACAGATCTTTCCATATCTCAAACACATCAACCTTGTTCTTGCCCTGGGGCTTTTACACAAACTCAGGTTAGAATGCCCTGTGCCTTGATATATCCAATTCTTTTTTGTTATTAAGAGTTAGGCTTAGAGGCCTGAGCGGTGGCTCACGCCTGTAATCCCAGCACTTTGGGAGTTCAAGGCGGGCGGATCAGGAGGTCAGGAGATTGAGACCACCCTGGCTAACACTGTGAAACCCCGTCTCTACTAAAAATACAAAAAATTAGCCGGGCGAGGTGGCGGGCGCCTGTAGTACCAGCTACTCCGGAAGCTGAGGTAGGAGAATGGCGTAAACCTGGGAGGCGGAGCTTGCAGTGAGCCGAGATCGCGCCACTGCACTCCAGCCTGGGCGACACAGTGAGACTCCGTCTCAAAAAAAAAAAAAGAAAGAAAAAGAGTTAAGCTTAACTTTCACCTCCTCAGAGAGCTGCTCCTGAAATTTCCAATCTAAAATTGCCACTCAGTCACGCTCTATTGCTCTATTTTAGTTCTCTCCATAACAGTTATAACCATTTGATATATCTGGTTTATATATTTAATTTTCTGTCTCAACATATTAGACGTAAACCCCATAAAAGAATAAGTACTTTATCATTTTGTTCATGGCAGTTAGGATAAATCTGTTCCACAGATTTAAAAAAAAAGAAAACAATGCGCATGCGCCATAGCTCTCCAGACCGGAAGGCTGTACTTAGCCGGTCGCCGGGAGATGAAGGCCGGGATGTGAGGCGGTCCTGCCTTGCCGCCTTCCGTCCCTAGTCTCCGAGTCCCCGCCCTCCAGCCGCCTTTGAGTCGCGCCTGGGTCACGGTCTTCACTCATGCCTCAGAACTGCGAAGAAAGGAAGCTCGCGTGTTTGCTAGAAAACCTAGTTAGCAGTGCAAGGCAGAAAGCGTTCAGCACCCTTGTTCCTCCCCACCCCCCGGGACAGAGACAGAGCTCTGGAGGGCAGGGAATCCCCCTTGTCTTGGCCCATCCCCCGGCTGGGCACTAAACTCGGCTACGGTGGGGCGAGCGAGGTGGGCTCCAGAGGAAGCTGACGGCTGATAATGGCTCAGTCGAACATGCTCCCCGTGGCTGATGTGTTGAGTCAAGATGAACTGCGCAAAAAGCTATACCAGACATTTAAGGATCGGGGTATACTGGACACGCTCAAGATACAACTTCGCAACCAGCTAATTCATGAGCTGATGCAGCCTGTATTGAGTGGAGAACTGCAAACTCGGTCCATTTCAGTGCAAGGGAGCTCCCTCTTAATAAGTGCCTCTAACTCTTTAGTGGCAGATCACTTACAAAGATGCGGCTATGAATATTCACTTTCTGTTTTCTTTCCAGAAAGTGGTTTGGCAAAAGAAAAGGTATTTACTATGCAGGATCTATTACAACTCATTAAAATCAACCCTACTTCCATTCTCTACAAATCACTGGTTTCAGGATCTGATAAAGAAAACCAAAAAGGTTTTCTTATGTATTTTTTAAAAGAATTGGCAGAATATCATCAAGCTAAAGAGAGTTGTAATAGGGAAACTCAGACAAGTTTGACATTTAGCAGAGATTCTCTGGCTGAGAAGCTTCAGCTTATTGATGATCAGTTTGCAGATGCTTACCCTCAGCGTGTCAAGTTCGAGTCTTTAGAAATAAAACTAAATGAATATAAGAGAGAAATAGAAGAGCAACTTCGGGCAGAAATATGCCAAAAATTGAAGTTTTTTAAAGATACTGAGATAGCAAAAATTAAAATGGAAGCGAAAAAAAAGTATGAGAAGGAATTAGCCGTGTTCCAGAATGATTTTGAGAAAGCTTGTCAAGCAAAATCTGAAGCCCTCGTTATTCGGGAAAAGAGTACCCTTGAGAGAATTCAAAAGCACCAAGAGATTGAAACAAAAGAGATTTATGCTCAAAGGCAACTTTTACTAAAAGATATGGATTTGCTAAGAGGAAGAGAAGCAGAGCTGAAGCAAAGAGTTGAAGCTTTTGAACTGAACCAGAAGCTCCAGGAAGAAAAATATAAAAGCATGACTGAGGCACTTAGGAGACAGGAGCAGAATATAAAGACTTTTGAGAAGGCCTATGACCAAAAGCTCAAGAATGAACTTCTAAAGTATCAACTTGAACTAAAGGATGACTACATCATTAGAACTAATCGACTGACTGAAGATGAAAGGAAGAATAAAGAAAAAGCAGTTCATTTGCAAGAGGAGCTCATAGCTTTTAATTCAAAAAAGGAAGAACTCAATCAATCTGTAAATCGCATAAAAGAACTTGAGCTTGAGTTAGAGTCTGTCAAAGCCCAGTCTTTGGCAATAACAAAACAAAACCATATGCTGAATGAAAAGGTTAAAGTGATGAGTGATTATTCACTACTAAAAGAAGAGAGACTGGAGCTTCTGGCACAAAATAAATTACTTAAACAACAACTGGAAGAGAGTAGAAATGAAAACTTGCGTCTCCTAAACCGCCTCGCTCAGCCAGCTCCTGAACTTGTGGTCTTTCAGAAACAACTACAGAAAGCAGAAAAGGCAATAGTGGTTGAGCATGAGGAGTTCGAAAGCCGCAGGCAAGCTCTGCACAAACAACTGCAAGATGAAATTGAGCATACTGCACAGCTGAAGGCCCAGATACTAGGTTACAAAGCTTCCGTAAAGAGGTTAACTATTCAGGTTGCCGATTTAAAATTGCAACTGAAGCAAACTCAGACAGCCCTAGAGAATGAAGTGTACTGCAATCCAAAGCAGTCTGTGATCCATCATTCTGCCAATGGATTAATAAATGACAACATGGTGCTTCACAATGGTGAGATATGTGGGGACTTCTTGAGCAATCCTTTTAAACAGGAAAATGTTCTAGCAGGTATGGTTGCATCAAGGATCACAAATTATCCAAATACAGGGATGGAGGGTAGTTCCCCTGATTCTGACCTTCAGTTTGTCGCCAATACTAATGCAAGGGTCAAAGAGCTTCAGCAAGAGGCCGAACGCCTGGAAAAGGCTTTCAGAAGTTACCATCGGAGAGATATTAAAAACTCTGCCACAGGCCCACTACCAGCAAAGAGCCCACCATCTCTGCACTTGCTGGAAGCCTTCAAAAACATTACTTCCAGTTCCCCGGAAAGACATATTTTTGCAGAGGACAGAGTGGTCTCTGAGCAGCCTCAAGTGGGCACACTTAAAGAAGAAAGGAATGACATCTTGGAAGCACTGACAGGCAGTGCAGCCTCAAGGCTACGTGGGGGCACTTCCTCCAGACGCCTCTCCTCCACATCCCTTCCAGAAGCAAAAAGAAGCCTTGAAAGTGAAATATATCTGGAAGGTCTGCACAGATCACACATTGCTTCCCCCAGTCCTTGTACTGACAGAATGCCCCTGTCATCACCCACTGAGTCTAGGCACAACTTCTCCATCCCTCCCTTCTCCAGCCCTCCGAGGCAGAAAGCTGGTCATTATCAGAGACAAAATGAACTTCAAGACAAAAGTGAATTTTCAGATGTGGACAAGCTAGCTTTTAAGGATAATGAGGAATTTGAATCATCTTTTGAATATGCAGGGAACATGCCAAGGCAGTTTGAAATGGATGAGCCCTCTCCTGCCGGGGATATGCTTCATATGGGTGCTGCTGCAGCTGCTGTTCCCCTCTCATATCAGCACCCAAATGTAGATCAGAAACAAACTGAAGAACAAAAGGAAGAAGAAAAAATATGGGAACAGCAAGTGAAAGAACGAAAGCAGAGAGAAGAAAGAAGGCAGAGTAACCTACAAGAAATTTTAGAAAGGGAACGAAGAGAACTAGAAAAACTGTATCAGGAAAGGAGGATGACTGAAGAATCACTGAAGATTGAAATGGAAAATGAATTAGAAATGGCAAATGAATTAGAAATGAGTAATCAAGAAATGAAAGACAAATCTGCTCACAGTGAAAATCCTTTAGAGAAATACATCAAAATAATCCAGCAGGAGCAAGACCAGGAGTCGGCAGGTAAGAGCTCAAAAATGATGGTCCAGGAAGGCTCCCTACTGGACACACTGCAATCTAGTGACAAAGTCGAAAGTTTAACAGGCTTTTCTCATGAAGAACCAGATGACTCTTGGTAACCATGTTTGCTGCCCAGCTTCTAACTTACATACCATGAGAAGTAACATAACATTTACTCCTTTGTAAATGTTTCTCTATCAACAGATAAAACTCACAATAAAAATGTGTATAATCAAAAAAAAAAAAGGAAGAAAGAAACTGCAAATGTTTTAGTATTATCAATTTCATGTTGCACAAGCTAGTATATTTGCAGCACCAAGAATACTGTGTGGCAAACAGCAGGCACTTAATAAAAATCAGAATAAATGAATATCATAGAAATTTGTGTACATGTTTATACTGAGAGCAGGGCAGTTATCTAGCACAGGATTAGATGCATTTTGACCATACTAATGAAAGTATTAAATTTAAAAAGTAAATGGTCCAAATAAAATCATAAAAGTAAATCATCCAAATAAACTTAAATATTGAATTAGCAAGCTCAATATTTATTGAATTTCTACATTTTGACATAAATGAAGGTGGCAGCCCTTTCACTTTAAAAATTGAAACTTTAGCTGGGCACAGGGGTATACACCTATAGTCCCTGCAACGTGGGAGGCTGAGGTGGTTAAGATCATTTGGCCAGGCACGGTGGTGCACGCCTATAATCCCTGCAGGGAGGCCAAGGCAGTTCGATCACCTGAGGTCAGGAGTTCGAGACCTGACTAACATGGTGAAACCCCGTCTCTACTAAATATAAAAAATTAGCTCAGCGTGGTGGCACATGCCTGTAATCCCAGCTACTTGGGAGGTTGAGGCAGGAAAATTGCTTGAACCCAGGAGGTGGAGGCTGCAGTTAGCTGAGATCACGCCATTGCACTCCAGCCTGGGCAACAAGAGCGAAACTCAGTCTCAACAAAAAAGATCATCTGAGGCCAGGAGCTCAAAACCAGCCTGAGCAACATAGCAAAATCCCATCTCTAAAAAAAAATAATTAATTAAAATTTAAAAACAAAAACTTTATAAAGATCAACTTGCCCCAATTTTGTGATTTTTTAAAATCCATATTCAATAAAAACAAATCTAAGCCATTACTTTTCTCAGATTCTATTCATTCACAAATAGTCATAAATCGCCTCCTGTGTTTCAGATACTATGCTAGAACAGTATCATTTCCATAGAGTAATGGCCTCTGTATAATATGTTTTCAATATTCTATTATGTGCAATGCAAAAAGAGTTTTAAAAGGATTTGTTTACTATATTACCTGTTTTAATATGAAGTGGGGGAAGAACATTTACATGATGAGGTGGCAAAATGCAAAGCTGCTGATTGGTGAAATAGGCAGCCATGAAACGAGCCATGGACTGGACGACTCTCACTGCTGCCTCAGGATGAACACCACCCGCCATTCCACACTCAAAATGAGACTTCGCAGCACCTAAGGAATACAGCAATGACCTAAGAAGACTGTGATCAACTACCAAAAGTAGTAATATTTAAGTTCCCAATATTATACAAAAAGAAAATTGTAATACGTTTTTTTCTGAGATGAGCACCCATGGCCAATACAAGCTGAATTATAATAGGTACCATATTTCTTAAAGACAATAAAACCAAAAACAATTACAGCTGACCCTTGAACTTCACGGGTTTGAACTGCACAAATCCACTTATATATACAGATTTTTTTTCCATAAATATACTAGAAAATGTTTTGGAGATTTGTGACAATTTGAAAAAATTTGTAGGCACACCACATAACCTAGAAACATCAAAAAATTTTAAAAAAAAGAAAAAGGTATGTCATGAATACAAAAAAAAGTAGATATTTTATCATTTAGTACCATAAAATACATATAAACTATAAAAAGTTAAAATTTATCAAAATTGGCTGGGTACAGTGGCTCACACCTATAATCCCAGCACTTTGGGAGGCCAAGGTAGGCTGCTCTCTTGAGCTCAGGAGTTTGAGACCAGCCTGGGCAACACGGTGAAATCCCACCTCTACAAAAAAATAGAATTAAAAAAAATTAGCTGGGCATGGTGGTGCGCACCTATGGTCCCAGCTACTCAGGGTGCTGAGGTAGGAAGATTGCTTGAGTCTAGGAGGTGGAGGCTGCAGTAAGCTGAGATCGTGCCAGTGCACTCCAGCCTGAGCAACAGAGCTAGATATTCTGACTCAAAACAAAAAAAATTATCAAAATTTACACAAACACTTACAGGCCATATATGGCACTGTTCACAGTCAAGAGAAATGTAAACACACATAAAGTATTAAATAACTGCATAAAATTCATTGTAGTTCCTACTGTACTACTACTATATTAATTTTGTAGCTACCTCCTGTTGCTACTTTGAAGAGCTCAAGTGTTGGAAGTATTTGCTGAAAATACTATGTGATGCTAATCATTTCTGCAAAGCAGTTCATCTCTCTAGTAAAGTGCATATGGCAATAAAAAGTACCTCAAAATTCTTGTGTAGTTCTCATCACATTTAGTGTTATACCATAAACCTTGAATAACACCATGAGACCTACAAGAAGTGCCACAAGAGATCCTGGAAGTGTTCTGAATAAGCAGAAAAAATTCATGACATTACAAGTAAAAGTTGAATTGCTTGAGACATACCATGGATTGAGGTCTGCAGCTATGGTTGTCCACCGTTTCAGACAATTAATCTTGGAAACAGATAACATAAACTGGTGGTATCAATAAATACAGTACAATACTGGAAATGTATTTTCCCTTATGATTTTTTCTTTTTCTTTTTTTTTTTTTTTTTGAGACAGAGTTTCGCTCTTATTGCCCAGGCTGGAGTGAAATGGCACGATCTCAGCTCACTACAACCTCACTTCCTGGGTTCAAGTGATTCTCCTGCCTCAGCCTCCCAAGTAGCTGGGATTACAGGCATGTGTGCCACCATG